TCTAAATTTCATTTTTAAACAAATGCACGCGTAAACAATTATGAATAAAAATATCTATTACTATTATCATTCGCAATAAAAAGGATTCAAAAGTAGAAATGATTACAAAATTTACACACGCTGTAACATGACAAACACGTCGTGTAACAAAACGGATATACCGTAAATATTCAGTTTCAATTTCACAAACGAGTATTATTTATAAGACGAGGAAACGTGTCGTCCTTTACGGGTATCGACAGACCACCGTCTGTCCATTGACACGATTGGCGGCGATATTTTACGAGGATAGCCGCTCGTAAAGCATCGCGAGTCGAAACTGCCGATGACACTGAGGACGACAATATTCCGTCCGTACGGGTGAGAAGAGACCGCTTCCCGTTATCTGTTCGAGGATCTCCCGTAGGGGTGATTAAGAAATCCGCTTTCGGATGTATCTTCGGCAATTATCAGCGGAGACCAGCGATAACGTGGCTGCTCGGTATAGATTCCGTGATATGTAATTATGTGGGAGACGAGCACCGTAAAGATGAATGAACCTTACCCTATACTCGGGGTGAACGAACTCTTAGAAGAAAGTATCAACCATACGATGAAATAGTCACTCCAGAAACACTCGAAATGTTGTTTTAAATCCTACGATTTAACGCAGTTCGCCAATCTAGGCAGAGCAATTTTAAGTATAATTCCTCCAGTAAACAAGACATTATCTCCGTTACAATATGACTCTAATCACGTTAATTGACAGAGAATATAATTTCCAACATTTTCCACAATTAAATCCTATCGTCCCTACTTCTCACAATCCAGAACGTTTCAAAGCGTAATCTACTTTTTACCCTGCAATTATCACATCGTGTGAGAAAACTCGGCAAACGAAGGCGAGGCGCGGCGTTACGATGCGTGTCGGTAACGAGCAACGAGCTGATAAGTGGCTCAAAGCTGGGGGGGGGAAAAAAAAGGGTAGGAAACGGAAGGAAGGGAAAATAACGAAAAGCAGGCAGCGCGAGGTAGACTGCTGTCCACTCTGCGTGGCGTCCGCCTAATGTGCCCTCGAGCTACTCCTCCCGCGGTGCAAACGTGCTTCTTGTAAATAACAACACTCGTTAGCGGCAAGAAATACTGCGGCGATGTAATAACTCGCGGGCGCGCGCGATTCAATTTAATCACGGTCATTACGCGCCATTCATTATTTACGCCGTTATCGAGCTTTAATAAAATCTTGAGATACGTTCCCGTGCGTTACCCGTGCGAGGCTTCAATTAAATCGAGGCCCGAGGTCGATTCATCAACGGGCCACCATTAACGTCCGCGACTGCTACGGGATTCCTCCAGAGAGGATTAAATAAAATCGTCGCGGACCTAATAACGACATCTGTAACTCGGCGTTCTCCGTTGGGAATCGACTTTTAATTGTGTTTCACCTCGCTGGCGACCCGAGAAAATCGCTTCCACCAGCAGTGCGCGTGTGTACACCTCTGATCTTCGGGTAACTTCAATTATTAATGTTACGCCGATTGGAGAAACTGACCAAGAGACCTAATGAATTTTAACGCGTTACCCGCTGCGTAAACGTAGCTTCTATATTCTCTATGAACACGAGGCTACCTCGGAAACCGCGTGGCTTACTGTTTACTGTTAGTTAGTTCAGTTAAACGACTGATTAACTTACTAACGTCGACTGTAAAATGAGAATTTATTGCGAGACCAGTAGCAGCAGCAGATATTTATCTTCTTTACCTAACAATAATGCCAGCAGGATATCATTAAATAAAAAATGAAGAGTTTTCAATATCGGCAAGCAGGGGAGAGTAGATGCTATTCTTCATACGCACGGAACCGATCGTTATCTAATCTATACCGAGTTTAATACGCCTTAATTAATACACGAGATCTCATGAAATTTGCAGGCCCTATTAAAGATCACGCTACCTCGCCGCCAAGTGATTCTCGTATCGCATTGAAATCAGTTGAATTTTTCGCCTATCGGTATTCATCGAACAAGTTTAATCGCATGATACACGCTGACCGGCCGCAGTTTCCGATAATAATCGAGGGGATTAAGTATTTATTAGCGGTGGCCGCGCGGCCAGTAGCCGGGGTTTCGCGTCGACCGCTCGATCGTGAAAGCGCCAGCGTTATTATAAAGACCTGTAACCGGCATTTACCGTATCCTCGTAATATTTCCCCCCCTCGATGCGGCCTCCTACGGTCGTGGCGTGTGTTCGGGAAGATACATGTTATCGAAAGCGGTAGCCGCGGACCGCTATTACTCCATTATACAGTTTGCGAGCGGCACGGTATAAATTCGATGCAAATTCTACCGCCGCGCCAGCCGTGAGAATCATCAATCATGGTTAGCTGCCTGTATTTGGCGTTTTTCGGTGTATTCGCTACGAGAATCGATTCCGGGACGATGGTCGGTGCTCGACGTCGAGTACCCGTGAAATCAAGTAACGGTGCCCTCGATGTTTTCCATCGACTCCGTGTAAAGTCTCTGAATCATTTCTTACTCCTCGGTTGAACGAGAAAGTTCAGGGTATTTCGACGATTCCTCCGAGTGGCAGAATTAAAGCGTCCCTTTGTCTCCTCTGGTTAATTTAATTATTTACAACCGCAACGATCAATCATGAACCTCTGAAGTCCGACTCCTCCCAGAAATTTCACCTTGCTCGCAGCATGCATGCGCAACCGTAGAGTGTACGCAACTATTAAAAACAGGTGTTATCAATCATTGTTACTGACTCGCGATTAAAAAAACGTCCAGTTATCGCACGCTCTCCAATTGAATTTTACCTTGTTCGCCTACTTTCTCCTCTATCAATCACGAGCGTCGACGATCGTACGCTATCGCAAGTTCACGGGGTTGAACCCCGCGCGTTGCTCGTACAGGATTATTCAGCAAAAGCGCCTCCTGATAACCCCGTTCCACGTTGACCTTTTCCGAGCACAATGGGTTATTCATACGAGACAAATTCTAACACTTCTGGGAGCAGGACGGCACGATTGTCTCTACCGCGTGCGCACGATCCGCGCGAAACGATTTACGTCGTGGAATGGCAGAAATTACAGTAATCAATGAATTGGCATTTCCCACATCCCGATTGTAGCCAGTATCCGCCGTGCCGCCCGTAAAGATATCTCGATGGCTGCATAATGCCGCGGTGTTAGAATGATGGATAGACGTGCCGGTCCCCGTTTCTACGACCGTGCGGCGCACTCGTTGAAACAATTATTATACCGAGCGCCACTCTAGTACTTAACATACGTGGATCACGCTAACAGGATTTTGCCACGGTAACGCTACAAAATATTGTATATATGGACGTTTGTACGCCGTCATGTTTTGAACACTATACATAGAGGATTTATATTCATTACTTAAGAGAAGTTTATGTGATATTGAAAAATATGTACAAGTACAACTCGTTGAATAAATGTTTCATTGTCGGTACGATATACAGGGTGTTCTAAGAAAAATCTTAAAGCTGAAGGGGAATAATTTTGGAAGTGTTTCTGTATAACAATTTTTTTATGGCAAAATGCAAAGTGAGGCATGGTTTTTGAATTATTAATGAAAAACACTGACTAATAGGAGCACGTGTAGGGTCCGCGCTCAGCCACGGCACCGAAATTTTTATTTCACAATCCTTAACCAAGGCGAGAAGAGGAATTTAAAAAATGCCTCACTATCTAACTAATCGATTAATTATTTCGTTCATTGTCAATTACTCTTTAACGAATGGAGTTAGAAGAAAATTAGACATATTTGATAATTGAGGTGACGGTCAAGAAAATCGAGATCTGAGATGTACCGTGAATAATTTATATCATCTGCCTCAAAACACGATTTGTGGGACTGGAAATATTGGGAACTAGAGGTTCGTTAATGGCCGGCTCTAAATTAACGGTGACCCTGAGGAATTCCCGTGACGTCAAGCGAAATTCCGGGTGACTCGAAACTGAGGAAGGCAATAAGCTGTGAAACCGCATCGACTTTGATAAAACAGGCTGGAAATAAAGAAAATTGTGAAAATTAATTGTACTAAATCGCAAGGAATCGTCGCGTTTACTCGAGAATCTGTTTAACAGTTTAATAAGCTTATTATTACATAGTTCCATTTAATTTAAGGATAAAATTAGAATCGCATTAAATTCTTGCTGTAATAGAATTATAATGAATTTTAAATAGAGTCACGCATAATCATTTTTTATATATTTTTGTATAAAATACTTCTCTAAAATAGTATTAAATGAATAGGAGCCATCGATGTATTTACTTAATGATTCCCACTCGAAGATCGTTCCATCGTTATGCTAATAGACTCTATCTCCGAGTTTCGATATCTGATTACGAAAGAGGATTAGAGAAAAATGCTTTTAGGAAAAATTTATACATCGTTATTTATGAGCGGTTTCCCGTAACATTACATAAAGGAATGCCTTAAATTTTGTGATAAGGTCTGTGTATATGTAAACAGGACTTTCGGACGGTGCCTAAGGTCTAGCTACACAGACGTAACGTTACCGTGACGGCACTGTAACGTAATGGAAACTCAGGTCTCCGTAGGACGGAATTTTCATTTCATTTGCCGTAATCTTTAGGACAGGGTATAGTATTTTTCCTATAGGATTGTAAAAGCAGGGAGCTCAGGGGTCCACGTTTGGCACCGAATTGGCAAACAGGGACTGCCTGCTGTTTGAGTCCACTATCTACTCCGAGGATTTTATGTACTTTTCCGACGACTCTGCGGCAACGTTTGTAATTTTCAGCCAAAGCCAATATAGCCGAGGCTTTTTCCTACCTAAACTCCTTTACCCTGTCCTAAAGATTACGGCAATGAAAATTACGTCCTACGGAGACCTAAGTTCCCATTATGTTCCCAAAACGTTACGGTGCCGTTACGGTGCCGTTGCGTCTGTGTAACTAAACCTTTGAGAGGTTGACCACAAATAGGGCAGGGATGGGAACTCTGGTGTGTATATATAGTCAGTTCATTGCCTGAATGGTCAGTAGGAAAGACCTAGCGACCGAAGTAACATGTCTGTCAAAGTTTTCGCCCTTCTGTTCTCGCTGTTCCTCGTGCAGTGCGTAGTAACGGCTGCGCCACATTCACAATGTAAATTGCATAAATTCTACTTTTTAAAATCGAGTGATTAATCGGTGCCTTTCATAATAAGTAATTAATTGGTGAATTGTCTTTAGTTGCCGACTGTGTGCCAGGCACAACTTTTTTTAATGGATGCGCTACGTGCACATGTCAGAAAAATGGAGCACTCAGTTGTCCGCTGGTGGCCTGTCAAAAGTACGCCAATTATGATTCCAGCATGGATTACGAAGACTAATATATCGAATTCAATCGACAATTGATGGAACGAAAATAGGCAAGGAATCTGTCATGTGGAATTCTTATAGAAATCACTTATTTTATAATTATAATATATTGTATGAAAGAAATTATTTTGAAGAATGTACTGTGAAACGTTGTACGAAAAATTGTTCATGTAGAATTCTCATAGAAAGTTATTTTATAACTGTAATGTGTTGTCATAAATAAACTGAAGTACCGCAAATAATGTATTTGACTCATTTTAATATTAGAGAAGACTTAGTAACTAAAGTATAGACAATAAACATTGTTAAAATATAAGAAAAGCAGCGTAAGTCATCCAGTCTTAATTTGTATCCCATAGGAAGGTTTTACACTTCGGTAAATCGAATGTACACGAGACAAGAACGAATCTAATTTTAGAAATACTGTTATTTTTAGAATCAAGGTGAGAATAACATGTCTAACGGCTAAGAATAAGTATGTGTGTATTGAACGAGCAATTGGTTGATTGGTGGAAGAAGAAAGAGACGAGCATGTCTACGAGAGAGACAAGAGATAAGACGTTGACATTGGTAGTGCTAGGTATCGTTTAAATAGAAATTAGACAATTGGACACAACTGGCAAAGCGTGAATCCCGTCAATCACAGTCAATCAAGTATTAGTCGTAAGGATGAATTCTGCCATTGTCATTTTTCAATAAATTCGATTTGATAGTATGAAACCTAACGAAGTTGCTGATATTTTTTCTACTATCCCTTTGGTCGGTCCTTCGACTGAATGAGACTCACCTACCCTGGCAATTATTTTCCCACCACATAAAAACCTCCAAGTATTGACTAATTGTATAATGAAGCTGAAAATATTGTTCCAAATTTAATGCGAGAAATGTAAATCCTACGTTGACTCGTGTCTCTAAAATCAACATCAATCGTAGAGAATGATCATTCTTCGTGTTGGAATCCCACGGCCGGTCGGTCAGGCCGAGGTTGAGCACCGCGGCTACCACCGTCTTGGTTGAACCATGGACCAGACAAAAGATCCTGGTTCTCACGACCACGCCCTCTCCCCGCCGCCTTTGCGCTCTCTAGACGGCGGCAATGCCTTCACGAAGGTACCTATCCACCGGAAATTCTTGAAGCCGCGGCTCCTTCGACGGTGTGTACACACATGTGTGCCCGCGGTTGCCTGGTGTGTATACAGATAGGCCCGGAGGAACGAACGGTGTGACCTCTTCCAGGTTCTCGCGAGGCGATAATAAATGGCCGGTCACAAATGTGGCAACGAAACGCGGGGGCAACGTCACAAAAATGCATACTCGATGAATAGTATTCAGAGACGTACAGTCACTCCGTCGGTGCTATCGAATTTCTAAGCCTCTGAGCTACAGGCCACGCGGTTCACCGTGCGAATGTCGTAGACCCTTGACCCTCCTGTATGTAGCCACCCAATTGGCCGATTGAAAACGGCACTATGCCAAGTGTGACTATAGGCTTTCCTTGGGACGAGCACGCTTGGCGTCCGTCGTCTGCGCGAGGAACACCGAATTCTTTTCCGAACGTAGAAGGCATCGATTAAAAGTTCCTCAGATCGCGCGAATGGTCACGCGTCCGACGAAGTTGCGGCCAACGCGACTTCCGTTCACCACGATTTTCCGTCTCCGAGTATCTTGAATGGGAATCAAAGGTGCCCGATGACTAATGGTCCGCGGTCGTGACTGCTTGACCCATCCACGGTGACAGGCCGTTTAAATCATCGGTCGTATCTCCCCGAGTTAAGTACGTTATCGTTATCGAGACCGGATCTTAATGTTTTATTTGTTAATAACGTTGTCTCCGCCGGGTTAACGTGGGAAGATCGCGTAATGACTGGGAGGCGCGTAAAACCCGGGGTCAGAACCGTGGCGAGCAAAAAGGGGGAATTTCCTTTTACCATTTGCGTCGGGTGCCATTTGCGGGGAATATCAGCCGCGCGGTGTAACGTAACTAAAGCGCAAAGAAACGCGGCTGCGTGGAATCGCAACGGGTCATTCACGGGAATATTGTCCCAGTAATTAGCCTCCACGTTTACCGACGCGACGGTCGGTTCGTTCTCCGAAGCGTTACGCTCGCTCCGCTTCCTCTCATAATTGTGAGCACACCTTCTGCCGTCACCTTGGAACGGTAACGTCAACCTATGAACTCGGCGTGATCCCGCGTGAGAGAAAAAAAAAAATACCCGACTCGCGATGATGAAACTCGCCCTAGCGATCGGCGTGTGGTGAGTGTGCGTGAATCACCGATGAACAATGAAGTATTTGCTCATTAATGCCTTTATCGCGTGTCTCAACCATTAAGATATCGTTTTGAAGTACTCGTTGTGTTTTAATCTTTAAAGCTAATAAGTTGTTTGGCTAAGATTAACTAGTATCGTTGTATACCAATTTAAGTTAGCTTCCCTAGCTTCTATCTCATTCCTTGACTTATATTTGCAGACTGTCTTATCTTCGAACTTTATTGTAGTTCATCATTCTTGAACCTTCTCGTTATCTTCAACCTCGAACTCTAATATCCCTGTCCCAGCAAATCCTAATCCTCGTCACTTAAAACCTATATTTTATTTTCTCTCAATTCAGACTATTTTATTTTCAAACTTCTTTAATTCTCGTAAAATAAAATTCTAGTCTATTGTCGAGAGATTCATTTATCTTCGTTATGGTATTAGTTGTATTATTCTTAGTAAATAATTCACGGAATATAACAGTATAAATAATCCTGGTTGATAAATGTGTTATAGAAGAACGAAATTGTAGATACCGTCGACTGACTTACCGGTGTGGGTTCTCTTGTGAGCCTTTAAGTGGGAGCTTTTCGTGTACACCTTGTCGCAACCCGCCACGTCGCATCTGTGAACTTTACGTCTCTTCAACGCGTCGCCGCACTCGTTGTCCATTGCTAAGCTCGCGCCGTTTCCCCCGACACCGGAATTTCCTCTACTTCCGATCCCAATCCCGGCCGCGAGCGCAGGACGCTTGTGAAACACCCTGAAACAGCAAATAAACATCTCTCTGTAGATATTAGGAACCTATTCCTTTTTAAATCCGTCGGAAAGGAAATCGAGAAAGAAGATAATTGAAAAATTGTTCATAGAACTTGAGTCGAGCAGTGGGCGAGACAATTGAAACCGAGAGTTTGACAGCGAATGGTCACCTTTTTTGCGGAACGTGTTCGTCAAACTATACTCGAACCCCGCGGCGACGTTGATTATGATGAACGAAAGGGTGGCAAAAAATCCGAAGAATGGTCGCCCGCGGTGATTTCAATTCAGATATGGATAAGACGTCTTCATCGTTATTTTATCTTTTGTGCGCACGGCCGACCGAGCATCATACTTTATTTCTCGTTCTTCAACGAGCAGTAGAACCGACGAATCCCGTCCGCAATCGGTATGGATTTATACAGGAAGCTTTTGGTATACATTATTCATCGTTATGACCGGACTGACGAAGAACCAGCGGTATTGCCCGCGACATAAAGACATACCGAGACAAGCATTTTCCGCACAAATGGAATGTACGATTTTTATTATTGAATATTCATAACGTACTCTGAATTTAATTGCCGCGCATGTCTGAGGTTTTAAACAATCACTTCGGTCTCTATTATTAAATACTTCCAATTTCAATCGCTGTCAACGAACATTCAACAAGGAGGTGAATGTTCGATTCATTCTTCGGCTATTAAATGGAAGCGCGAGCTGAGTCGATCCATCTTACGAATTGACGCCCGGTGAAACTCGATTCGCAACCGAATTCGTACGTGCAGCGGCGGTCGTCCCGACTGTCGATACGAGGAACTGTTAAAGGATAATTTAAAGTACCGAACGACTTGACAGAGACGATGCATCAATTCGCTCGAGACAATGCCGAAACGAGACTGTTCCACGAACGTTGCTATTAAACCGGGATTTAAAGCACCATAACGCGGGGATACGAAATTTAAGACTGTCATAAGTCAAGGTATAATCTTACATTAGGCGTGCAGTATATAAACTTATCAACGTGCATTCTTCTATCTTTATTTAATGTCAGGTGATCGTTTTTTTACCTGGTTAATAATAATAATCAAATCTGGTAATAATCCTCATGATTTTCTCCAATCAAGTCTGAATTCTGTCTAAGAGATAAAAAATGAAGAGATAACGAAAAATATTTTAATGAATGCACTGATTTGACACAAGAATGAGATTGGAAAAAGATATTGTCATATTTTTCTCAAAGTAAACCAGGAATACGCGTTTCTGTTTGAGATAAAATTGCACGGACGTATACTTCAGACGCATCCTCGGTTAGACCATATTTCATCGAGACGAAGTGTGCGATGCGATGGCAGACTCGCCGTAAACTAGGCCCGCAGCTCTGCTGTTTAAACTGGCATAAATCCGCTTCTACTCGCAATAATCCGACTCGCTCCTCCAACCGGAGATTCTCTATCCGAGAAACAAACTCTCCTCGCCTCGATTTCCCGATTTCCGACACCTCGCCAAGCGTTTATTACGTTTTCAAGGTTTACCAAAAAGCGTAACGCGTTTCTCCTGATTTTACATTTCTTATAGTCTGAGATCTGAGATGATTAATAAAACGTGTCGCCTACGGCATTGTCAGTAGCAGATCCACGTTCTTTCGAACGATATTATAATACATTACTTCAATCTTTAGCAGTTGTACGCTGATTTACTCGACTAGATTGCAAAGAATCTATCAATCGTGACTCTATAAAAAAATTAAGAACCGTTCAAGCAGAAAATTTATTTTCCACTTGATTCGTGCAACGCGGCAATTGATTATTTCTGTACGTTTCACACTTGGCCAATAGATTACCAGGGTAATCGCGACGGATCTACTTCCTCGGGACAATTAATATTCCCACATTCTCCCCCCGAGGACAATAAGGAATCTCGCGCGGCAATTTATTTCGCGATAATTCCATCAGCTTCCACGGTGTTGGAATCAACGTGTAGGTACGCCGGGAGGATTACCAAATGGATCATTGTTTCGAAGAGACGGAGCCGTGAGCGCGCGGTTTGCTAGAGAGCCGAAGGAGGAACTGGAAAGTACATTTGTCGTGAAGTATTGCTGCAAGCTTGCGGCAGTTCCTCCGCAGGGGGTAACCGACATGCGGGTACCGATGTACAACGGTGCGTGTACACGTGCGTAGCCGGTCACGAGCGTGGAAGTCCCCGTCGCGTCGTCCGCGTACGTACTGTAAGTATGTAACACCGTGCCGTACCGTCAGACTCGGAAACGGAGACAGCCAGCCGTCCCCGGAGATTTATGAGAAACGTGAAGTATAACTATCGGTTAACGGCACTGTGACACGGGAAGACAGACCTCGATCCTCTGTGGCACTGGTGACGATTTCATGGTACGCCTGATCCACGGACGCGATCTCCCGGTACCATTATTGGCATACATCTGCCAAACCGGCTGAAGAATGTCGTGCATACCGCGATCATGCTATATATGACGATCGTAAAACGAGCAATCAATTTTTACAATAAATTCTCAAAAATTTCTATAGCCTATATTAAAAAATTAAGCACAGGAGACGTGGTAACTACAATCTACAGTAAGGAATGTGTTGGTAATCGGAGCGTCGCCGTGACGAGAGGCATGGATTTAGTCGAGAGTCATTCAGAGGCTCTAATAAAGTCATTGACACAGAACAACGATGAAGTAGGGAATACCGAGTTAGGTGGATAAACCGTTATGTCATCGTCTGTCATCGTGGCATGAAAAAGGGCGAGTTGAAATTATTCAACGTAATCTCTCTCGTCCAAGCCTGTCCAGGCGTCGAAAAGAAATCGTGACACGCCGCGCGGCCGCCGCCGCGCCGTATGAAACTGTGAAATGACGTTTGTTAACGCGCGCCCGGCCGGGTGTCACGAGATTACTGTATTCTCTAATTTCGGCCCCGGTCCCGACAATAGAAAAGACCGGCGGACCGCACGAGAGCAAATTAAACGAGATTTACAACGGGCGCACGATCTCGTCCTATTAACCCTAGAAGTGGCCGTACGTTCGATGAAATATGACGGCGAACGTTAGCTTCGCACCGAAACTCCGACAAGCTGCGATATCCTGCTGCTTTTTAACCGTCGTAATAATAAAGTCAGCCCTCGCTCGCAAAATGATAAAGACGTGAGAATTATTATTTGACTCTACAATTGACACATTTTTTATTCACGGTAAAAACGGGTTCGTGGATGAAATAAATGTACAGAGTAGATGTGATATTGTTCAGCAAGTCAAAGCTTCAATGCAACTTTGATTCTACCAAAAACAAAAAATTCACTGAGCATGATAACCAGTTAAAAGCTGTTCCCAGAGATTATATTCCGAGTTGTACTTTCTTCAGTAAATAGTACACATCCTGTTGCTCCCTTATAAGATCGAAAAAAAAGCGAGCACACGAAGGTGTGCGGGGCCCTGCTACACATCTATCGGCGAGCGTGGAAAAAATCGACCGCCTCGCCGCTGGTACCGCGATACGATCGGTAAAAGTACTTACAGGGACGTTTCCTTTATCCTCTGCAACGCGAGCAGGGCCGCCGATGGGGAAACGAAGACAGGATCGAGCGGTTCCATCATGCGGACCGACGCGTCCCTCTCTCTGTCCCTTTCCCTGTCCCTCTGCCTCTCCCTATCGCGATCTCGTTCCTTTTCTCGATCCCGCGGCTCCCTCTCCCTCTCCCTGTCCCTTTCCCTGAACCCTGATTCTCTTTCTTGCTGCCGTTCCCTGTGCTGCTCGTTCTCCGTGCTCCTCTCTCGCACCCTCTCGCGGTCTCGTTCCCGTTCCCGGTTTCTCTCCCACGCTGCCTCGCACAGCGGCGGCAAAGGCGGCGACACTGCAACAAAAATCGGGCGAGATATTAATTAGTCGCCCGAGCCAGCGGGAAATCGCGGGTTATTTGCTGGCCGCGCGCTCCCACCTAACGTTTATACGAGAATTTCATTCCATTTCATCGGTCTTTATGCGTTCGACGGATCGGTTAATTCGTCGGCGTACGAGTTCGTTAGCGGTTACCGGTTAATTACTATATTTCGTAGAATCGTACATTATCTACCGGGTGACGTATATGACTCTAGGGCCAGGGGAACGCGCTATCACTTTCAGCCCGGGAAATAAAACCAATCGCTCGAAGCGTTCCGCCGAGTGATCGAAGGGAATAACGAGCTGACCGTTATTAACGCGAGTTTTTCCTCAGTATATTATTTAAACGCCGCGATTTACGCCGACGTGACTCCGGCACCCGCGAAACGTTGTCGTAAATCTTCTGTTATAAAGTCTGTTGATCTACCAGCCACGAGCCGACCGGAACGTTCCGCGGGTTTGCAGAAAATTCAGAGAGAACTCCAATCGGTTCACAGACTGCGAAAAACTGCACTACATTCTGCTTTTTATTGCGACGCCCGTCGTAGTTGCTTATCTGTTTCTTTGAAATCTGTTCTTAGATACAAATGACAAGATATATATATAAAAAAAATGTACTATTGCCCCAGTATTTATTTTTTAAGATCATTTTTAATTGATCTCCTTCACAAGATTTATCCTTTACCTCTACACTGACTGACTTTTGAACCTCAAAAATAGAAACAACCACCGGACTGATGTTGCTATAAATAACGAGAAAACTATCTGCATGTACTTGTAATCGCATGTCGATAAGAACTCGTATCGATATCAAATGATGCAGAGGGACTCGCATCGGCTGGTAGACACCTTTCGCTGACTTTTGACCTCGCAGCATCGCGGCGGTTGCGTTGTACGTCGTTAGCCTTTTCGTATCGCAAGGCCGGCAAGAATTACACATGATATTACTGTTACTAATTAATAAGCGACGATGGTCAACAGATTCGCGATCGATCGATGTTGCCATCAGTTTCAGGATACGGTAATCGGGATTTATCTTTAGACGCCGGATTAATGCCAATCCGTGCGTCTCTCATCCGATTATTGGAGACGCCGTCTGGATTGCCTCGTAATCAATGGAATTGTAATTTCCGATGCTTACCTCGTTAAGTGGTAATGGTTCGTTTACCGGTAAATGCATGTAATTAGTGGCGTGTAATTTCGAGTACACGAAATCGGCACTCGTTATCATTGCTCGTAATTCGTTCCCTCTCTGGGAAGGCGAACGGATGTCCAACGAATCATAGTGGTGAATAATTACTGATGTTTATGTGTAAATTCATAATTGGTCACCGTAATTAACTTCTCTACTTTTTCTACATCGTTCCCCGTTTAAATAAAGACCTTTGAACGGGACAGTATATTCTTCCACTGCGTCTCACGTTACGTAGACATCCAGAAACCAGCATAGAACGCGAAATAACGGGATTAAGAGGTAATCGATTTCGTTCGTGAGGAGACACGGTGTGTTCGCGGAACACAGCGCGGTGTATTGCGTAACGCATGTACGCACGCGAGTTCCTCGTTGTTCGTTGTGAATCAACAAGTCGGAGATTTATGCAGTCTGCCACGACGACGGTCGGCGCGCGGCGGGAAACGCGTTCGAAGATGCATAACTAGGAAATGAACGTATCCGAATTTTGTTGGCTCTGTGAATCACGCTAAAAGATCGTCTTTTAATTGAGCGAAAGCTTTCTCTCCCCCTCTGAATGCCAGGTAGCCGGATCGGTGCACTAAAATGCGCGCATGTTGCATTTTAGCATTCAGGGAGTCGCGGCGTTCCATCGGGAACGTCCGGACGGTCCTCGTAATAAGCGATTTAATCACTGTAATCGGGTTACGCTCTGGGCGGAATATGTTACCGAACCGAAAGTTGCGGTTGCCTGGCTCGGCACGAGTAATAACGATGATCGGGTAAGCGCGTTTCCAAGAACGTTTTCCCCGGCCGGGGAATCCGGCATGGAAAATTTCAATATAAAACTCCGCGTTACAGATACGCATCTCCGGGCTCCGTGTTCTCCGGCCCTTATCGCCGGGTAAATCTCTCGGAGACTGCGCCGCCCGATCGTCCAATCGAATCGGAGAATCATTATGAATACAGTCGGTCGGCCCAGCTCAAGACGCATTCTAACTACTCGCGCGTATTATTAACCACAATTTCCGAGCATCGCCCGAGCAGCTCCGCTTAATTAGCCTCCGCTTCGGACACTTTTTCCTCCCCACCCATCCGCGAGGTCCTTCATCCCTCGTTCTGGACGTCTCGTTAAAACGATTAACTCTTGCCGTAGATCCACACGAAGCACTTTGATGCTTAGTGGAGCACGCGAGTGCCCAGAATTCGATCGACATTTTAACCCATTCACCAAGTTTCGTTTATTTCTTTTTTCGTTATTAGTACTTCCGTTATTTATATGCATTCGGATGATGGTTTCACTGACGAAGAATCTCATCTACTTAAATATTTTTAATGTTCTTGTTTATATATTTATTAATTGATTCCTTTCAGGACTAAAATCGTTACTTTATTCTCCTACGCTTTACGCACACACACACAGGTTTTTTCACAGATATTTCTCCTTCGTCTTTTTCTTATTCTGCCTTTCTCCTTACTTCATATATTACTTTGTATCATCTGGCCTTCTCACTTGATCTCTAATCCACTTCCTAATATCTCTCCGTCTCTCTTGCTAGCTCTCATACATTTCGGACCTCCTTTTCCGGTATTATGTCCTATATCTTCCTTGACATGTCTTCTCATTCATGTCTTTGTTCCTGTTATTTCACAATAAATGATTGATCTCCTTTCTTTCTGTGTAAAAGGTTTCCTGTATACAAACTTTGCTCCTCTTTCCATCGTCGCCTACGCAAGGTTGATCCCGAGCATTACCGGCAATAACGCGGTTTCGCCACGTTTCTCTTTCCTAATCGCTTCACCTCCCCTAGGTTCTCCCACCCTGGATCGCGTTTCCCTCCTGCTCGCATCCAACGGACTCCTTTCTCTCGTTCCGTACACGTATAGGCACTTTCATGACCCGGCGAGTCCACAGTCAGGGGGTAATTGATAATGTTAAACGCCGGGGTTAATCCGCCGATTTATGGGCAGAGTTTGTACGGTGGATTTTTCAAATCTGCCAAATTGAGGGATAATAGGCGGACATTAATGCCTCGCTGCCAGCAATCGAACAGCCAGGCGGCAAAGAGAGATAAGTGGGAACGGGCGGCACAGCCGGCCACGTCTATGCAGCGCGATTAATTCACTGGCGGAGTTGCCTCTAAACTCCGGATTTAGCGAGGAAATTAATGCACTCGTGTGACTGGTATCCGCCACCGTTGCCGCAGTTTTGACGTATCGGTATAGGATATTGTTAACAAGAATATCAAATGCTGCAGCGTTGAACGAACAAGTCAGATACCATCGAGTATCTCAGTTAAAACTCTATTTTGAACAACAGTGTTTTAACGATCATTCAACCTCGCGTTTAATAATACACACAGCATAATGGCATTAGGATTTTCAATGCTTTTGTAAATGAACTCTGTTATATAAACCGTTGAACATTAATAATGGCAGCGGAGCACACGTGTGCTGCCAGATCTTTATCGGATCGTTCTAAAATAATCAACTAGAAAATTCATCAATCCGCCGGAGGTGACCGGGTCGAGACTATCCGTGACGCTATCGGCAGGAAGCGTTTCGCAATCATTTACACGAATTCAAAGCGGCGAAGACAGCGGGACAATGGCCGTCTGATTGACGAACGTTAAAACGCGGCCCCGTACGATTAATCAATATTAATTACAGGGAAAAATAGTCGCGGACCGATATGATAACCCGGTGTGTTCCGATTCACCGCGACGACTCCAGGACGAATGATGAATCGTGGTTCGTTCTCGGTAACCTGTCGTGCGGCATCATCGATTATCATACATTGTGCGATCAGCCCAGGGCCGGGACGTAAAGCCGTGGCGCGGCGCGAGACGAGAAATATGCGCGGACCGTTGGTTCCCTCGCCGCGGCTTGAATACGCGCGCGAGAAGACGCGCTAGGTGGGTGGACGTGCCCACCCGCATCGCGGAACTCGTTAGACGCGAGTTTTCAATTAAATTTCCGGTTTTCGCACGGCGAAACGGAGATTAGCCGATGGCCCGTCTTGTACCAATTAATCGTAGATTACGATTTTTTCCGCGACACCGAGCCGCAGCGGCGTCTTCAATTTATCGACGTCTCCTCGTGTGTCTGACTACGATTTCACTTGGACGATAATCTCGGTTGTGCGAGCTTAACCCCTTGCCGTACTTTAACGAGTCTGACTCGTGATCAGAATTTTGTATCAAACGTGAATATCACGAGTTGAACTCGTGATCAGAATTTTATGGCAAACGTGGATATCACGAGTCGGACTCATGGTCATAATCTCATGTCCAACGGGAATATGCTAAGTTTTCTATAAGCATAAAAATCGGCGTGAAACGACCTGGGAATGTACAAGGCTCGAAGTTTTCCGATTGGTACGGCATGGATTTAAGCGTACGAATACAGAATACTAGCATCCCTATCGTGGCTTCGCCTAGTTTAATTATCGAGTAGATGTATAGAGTAGAAATATTTGAATGAAAACCAAGTCGTTATGGAGCTTCAAAAATACTTTGAATTTCGTAAATAAATTTTACACTTTTTCAGGCCCTTAATAAATGATTGAGGAAAAATCCTTATATTCGTATGGATCGATCCTTCATTAAATTTAAAAAATATTGAGAAATACGTAAAAACACTTTTTAAACCCAGCAGAACATAAATTTTGAAAAATCTACAAATTTACTTTTAAAGAATTGATTACGTGATATTTCGAAGTGAAATCTCTTGGACAGCTCATCGCGTTAAAGAAATATTGACAAGAAAGTAAAAAACTTCACTCTTGTTCGATCCATTAATTA